GATTTTGAATAGTGATATGATGGGAAATGTGTGGTTGAAAAAGAAGAAAAAATGATTGATGTGATGGAAAATATTATTTTATTGAAGAATGTGTGGTTGAAAATGAGAATTGATTTGAAAATTGATTTTGAGAATCAGAAACAAACAACCCCTTAATAAGATTCGCTCCATTAAACCTAGTTTGTTTTCCATTATTTTAAAAATATATTTTTTTCTCTTATTTTTAATTATATATTTTTCAATAAAATAATATTATACGTAAATTCATTTTTTAATTACACATTCTTCATCAAATTACTATTTCAAAATGTATTTTTGGCTAAAAATGGGGTTCGGGCTCTAAAATGAGTCTGAGAGAAAAAAATATACTTGAAATAGTGATTTTCTAAAAAATGTATAATTAAAAAATAAAAAAAAATTAAGTTTACTTATAACATTATTTTATGGAAGAATATATGGTTGAAAATATATTTTGAAAAGTGGAGCACAAATTGAGCCTTTTTATCTAAAAACTCATTTTTCCTCAAATTCATTCTTAACTACACATTTTTCCAATAAAATAATTTTACGCGTAAATCTAAAATTTTCTTCTACTTTTTAACTACTCACTTCCAAAAAATCACTATTACAACATCTATTTCCCCCTTGTAACATGGCTCAAATAGTGGCTACATTTGTCTAATAATTTTCGAGTGTTCATATGCTTCCTTACAGGAGCAGAGCCAGAAAATGATGTTAGGATGGACTGAAACTTAAAAAAATTCGAATGAACTTGTGCCACAAAAAAATTGAGTTTTGGAGACTTTCTCGTAACATTCACGATAAAAAAAAAAATATACAGAACTCAATGAAATAAAAAAGTTTAGATGTCTCACATTAAGATATTCCACTAAATTTTTGTATTTTTTTTTTTTACCAAATAGAAAATCGATGCTTTCCTTAAAAAATATAAATTGACCGAATCATGATAGAAATAAGAAAAATACATATCCACTAATGAAAATTAGAAAAATTACTTAACGAGTATTGTTCTAGTAACTTTGACGACCAATCTTTCCAAATAACTGAAAGCTTGATCGAAACTCGCAGTCTATAATATATCACTATAATTTATATGTTACTGTCTCGAAATATTATTTGGTGTGTTTATCGATTTTTTATATCACCACATTTCAAAGTGAGTAAGAATCTCAACCAAAGTGAGAAAAATCAACTAAGGATTCCGGTCAAAGAAATTAAATTAAATTTACTTCTATTTTTTGCTCGATTTCAAGAATATATTTATATATAGATTACTTTATAAATAAATATTTTTTAACAAATATTCTTTTTATTTCAATATCGAATCTAGAGTATTATTTATTTTTATCATAATATCTTTTTTTATTGTCAAAATAAGTAAATTCTTTTTGTAAGTATGAATAAGTAATATATGAAAACATGCTTAGAAATAAAAAAAATTAATTACTTTTAAATTTAGCAAAAGTCTCTAAGTACTAAAAGAAGTAATTTACTTCTAGATCTAATCAATACAANTAATCAATACAAATTATCTATAATACAATTTAATTAATAATTATAAGTAAATTTAGTCAAACGTGCATTAAATAGAAAATCTAATTTGACAATAAAATATTCACATTTCATGAATGTCATGAAAAAAGTAATTAATAATCGTAGTATCTTTAATACAATTTGAATAATTGAGCATTGGACTTGGGTTGAGATTCAAACTAGAACTGAACTAATGCTAATATTTGGATCAAAATTTACAATTTTATCTTAAGGATTTTATATGGGCTGTGGGCAGTGTTGGGCTAAAATTTACAATTTTTTCTTAAAAATTTTATATGGGCTGGGGACAGTTGCTGGGCTACAACCTAGCAATGCCGCCCACAACCTCCGTCAGTGCTTCCTTATACAGTAAAACCTCTATAAAATAATAATATTGAGGTTGAGAAAAATTATTATTTTAGAGGAATTTTTAATTTATCGATAAATAAATAATTTATTAATTTATCGATAAATAATTATTTATTAATTTATAGAATATTTTATACTTTTATAACTTATATTGTATTTTTATATAATACTAGGTACAAGTAACGTGTAATGCATGTTTGCTTAGTTTATATTTAATAGTTTTGTTTAAGAATTAATTTGTTATTAATAAAGATGTAATTTTTTTGGTTAATTAAATAATTAATGATGTAATGTTTATGTAATTGATAAATAATTAGATG